TAAAGTATATGCCATCAAAACCTTTTTCTCTTGTGCATAGTGATATTTGGGGCCCTTCACGAGTAAAAACAACCTCAGGATCTAGATGGTTCATCACATTCATTGATGATTACACTAGAGTCACGTGGATTTATTTACTAAAAGAAAAATCTGAGGCAGCAAGTGTTTTCAAAAATTTTCACTCACTGATCAATACTTAATTTCAAGCAAATATTCAAGTTCTTAGAACCGATAATGGTCGAGAATATTTTAATGCAATCTTAGGTGATTTTTTGAAACAAAAAGGAATTATTCATCACAGTTCTTGCGTTGATACTCCCCAACAAAATGGAGTTGCTGAAAGAAAAAATAGGCATTTATTAGAGGTGACTAGGGCTTTACTGTTTGCTATGAATGTTCCTAATCGTTTTTGGAATGAAGAACTCTTAACAACGTCTTATTTAATAAATCGAATGCCTACAAGAGTTCTTAATTATATTACTCCTTTGCAAGCTCTAAAGAATATGTTTCCTGAAAATAGATCTTTCACTGATTTAACACCTAAAATTTTTGGTTGCATTGCTTTTGTTCATATACACGGCCAAAATAGAAGAAAACTCGATCCCCGAGCACATAAATGCATATTTCTAGGTTTTTCACCAACACAAAAAGGGTATAAATGCTTTGATCCTAAATCTGGGAAGTATTATGTGAGTATGGATGTCACGTTTTTTGAAAAACATTTTTTTTTGACAAAAACTCTCTTCCGGGAGAGAATGACTCTAAAATGAGTTTTTGGGAACAAACATCCTTGCCAAAATCGGTTGTAGATAGCTCAGTGGAACCAATTCATATTTCCGTAACTAATCTTAGGATTTCACAACCTATAAATTCACAACCTCGTGAGACTCAGGTAGAAACCAACTTGGAACCACCTACTGAACTTCGTGTTTATTCTAGACGGATGACTCGACCAAGTAATGTTCCTCCGGCCCCCAAGGTATACCAACCATCGGACTCGACTATGGTCCAAGGTACGACTTCTCTTTCTCCTATTTCTTCTCCAAATTTAGAGCCTTCTACAAAATTCTTTGAACCCATAGCCTTGCACAAAGGTGTTAGATCATGTACCACAAAACATCCAATATCCAATTTCTTATCTTATAATAAACTCTCTCCAGATTTCAAAGCTTTTTTCCACCAGGATTATGGATGATGCACTACCTAAGTCGATACATGAAGCTCTAGAAGTTCCGAGATGGAGAGAGGCAGTTTTTGAGGAGTTAAAGGCCCTGAAGAAGAATGACACGTGGGATCTAACTCCTTTACCTAGGGGAAACGATCTGTAGGCAGCAAGTGGGTGTTCACCATCAAATACCATGCAGATGGCTCGGTCGAGAGATACAAGGCAAGACTCGTAGCACGAGGCTTCACTTAGACATACGGCCTTGACTACGAGGAGACCTTCGCACCTGTGGCCAAACTAAACACCGTACGTGTCCTACTCTCACTAGCTGCCAATCTGGATTGGACTCTCAGACAGTTTGATGTGAAGAATGCGTTCCTAAACGGTGAGCTAGAGGAAGAGGTGTTTATGGAAGTTCCTCTAGGCTTTGATGAATTAAAGAATGATGGCAGGGTCTGCAAGCTAAAGAAATCCATTTATGGATTGAAACAATCTCCAAGAGCCTGGTTTGAGAGATTCACGAGAGCTGTGAAACAACATGGTTACACTCAGGCCCAATCTGATCATACTATGTTCTACAAACACAATAATGGTAAAATTGCTATTTTAATTGTGTATGTAGATGACATTGTTATGACAGGAGATGACACAGTAGAGTTGGAGTCGTTGAAGAACTTCTTATCCAACCAGTTTGAAGTCAAGGATCTAGGACAACTCAAATATTTCCTTGGAATGGAGGTGGCTAGATCCTCAAAAGGTATAATTATCTCGCAAAGGAAATATGTCCTCGATATCTTGAAAGAGACCGGATTACTCGGATGTAAACCAGTGGCGACTCCTATTGATCCGAATCAAAAACTCGAAAAAGAAGATGGTGTTGAGCCTGTGGACAAGAATCAGTATCAGAAGTTGGTGGGGAAACTGATTTATTTGGCTCATACGAGACCAGATATTGCATTTGCTGTGAGCTTGGTTAGTCAGTTTATGCATTGTCCCTCAGAAAAACACTCCAAGGCTGTTTACCGGATTCTTCATTACTTGAAAGGGAGTCCTGGTAAAGGAATCATGTTTTCGAAGAATGAAAGTCGAAGAGTGGAGATCTTCACTGATGTTGATTGGGGCGGAAGTTCTACAGACAGAAGATCTACTACCGGTTATTGCTCTTTTGTCTGGGGCAACTTAGTTACTTGGAGGAGAAAGAAGCAACTAGTTGTCTCTAGAAGTAGTGCGGAGGCCGAGTTCAGAGCCATGGCGCAAGGAGTATGTGAGTTGTTATGGCTTAGGAGGATCTTGGAGGAGCTGAAGGTTGAAGGAGATAAACCGATGAAGTTGTATTGCGACAACAAATCGGCAATCAGTATTGCTCAGAATCCTGTACAGCATGACAGGACCAAACATGTCGAAATAGATCGACATTTCATCAAGGAGAGGCTGGAAAATGGCGATATCTACATACCGTTTGTTCCATCATCAGAGCAGCTCGCCGATGTTCTCACCAAGGGACTGTTTACTACGATGTTCGAAGGATTTCTGTCCATGGGAATGATCGATATCTATTCTCCAGCTTGAGGGGGGTGTCGAGAATATCTAAATTAAATATTAGATTGGATCAGTTTTAATTAGATAGAATCAGTTTTTATTCTATTAGTTATTAGATAAGATCATTTTTAATTAGATAGAATCATTTTTTTATTCTATTAATTATTAGATATGATCATTTTTATTCTGTTGCTAATTTTATGCATCTTTTTATGTAAAGTTGTTACATTGTAAACTCTATTTAAGTCAGCCATATTCAGCAGAAATAAACATGATTTATTCGGAACAAGTTTTTTCTGTCTTTAGTGACTAATATTAGTTCCACCTCTTGTGAGTTTCCAAATTTTGTTATGGACTGCTTCTAAGATTAGATGAGATAGTCGCTCCATAACTAAAATAAAGAGGTAGGGGATACAGGATCTCCGTGTCGTATGCCTTGTTGCGGTTGGAAATTTTCAGTTTTTCCCCATGCCAAAGTATTTCAATAAAGCTATTATTGATGCAGAACATGATGATAGCAATGATATCTTCTTAGAAGTTAAAGATGGTGAGAGTTTCTTCCAAAAAATTCCCAATTAACGTTATCATAGGCTTTGTGTAAATCGATCTTTAAAATCGCAGCCCCTTTTCTACCCTTTAACTTTGAGAGGGTATGGGGACCTCTTAAACAACAAGAATATTATCTGAAGTACTTCTTCCAGGAAGGAAACTATTCTGAAAAGGACCCACCAACCTTTGAATGATCGGTCTAATGCGGTTGACAAGAATTTTAGCAATGATCTTGTAGGAGGTGTTAAGTAAGCTTATAGGTCGAAAAAGCGAGATTTTGTCTGCATTATCAGTCTTTGGGATTAACACTCGAAATTTAATGAAGTACATCTGTCCCATTTTTCATGAAATTTAATGATACGATCCATGCAAATGCCACTACCTCATTTTTTCTCGCTCGGGGAAGTGATATCATTGAAATCACCAATAACGATCCAAGGCTTGTTAACTGATATAGAGTATATCTCTAACTCATTTTAGAACTCAGATTTTTTGTTGTCATGAGGTTGCATATACGCGAAAGAGATCAACCAATTCCTACTTCCCTCTTCAATACCGCAATGAACAGCTTGATCCGTGCTACTTTTGATGTGCATCATGATCTGGCTCCCATTCCAGAGAATAAGAATTCATCCACGCATACCATGAGCTGTAACTTCATAACAGTTTTCAAACTTTAATTTCTTTTGAATAGTTTTACCAATTCCTGAGGCATCTTTGGTTTCTAACAGACTAACAATATCATGTCTCTCTTTTTCTACAACATCTTTACAATTTCTGAGAAATTCTCTATTCCCGATACCCCTGCAATTCCAAGAAATGATCTTCATTGGACAATAGTGTTTTCTTTTAATGGTTCATGGCACTCAGGCATATTATCTAGGACTTTCGCCATCGAGACATCCACTTCTGAATCAATTAGCCTCACCTGTCTGATAACCCCTGTATCTTCAGAATAGGTTTGGATATTTCTATTTTCCCGCACACTTGATGTGTGAATGTCCATGTTTTTAAGAGTAGAAGGGTTATCCTTTTCCAAAGGGAAGCTACTGCCCAACTTGTAATTCTTATGTCTAATATCCTTCAGATTTATCCCCAATCTTGGATTTATTTGTCTAGACTTACTATTGATTGAAGAATTACACTCTTTAGAGAAATTGGTAATGCCTCTTTGTTTTGCAGATCTTGAAATTGGTTGTTTACCCAACATTTTCTTGCTTAGCTGAGCTGGATGTTTCTCTCTGTTTGCTTCCTCCATGTTTGGCCTCCTGTTAGATCTATTTTCAGTGTTGCCCAGGTTTTATCCCTTTTTTTTTTGTTAATGTTGGATTTTTCCCGTGACACATCTTCACTTAGAGCCGCGAACCTATTTCCTTGTTCCCCTGATTGAATTGTCTTTGTCTGAGCTAATGAATTACCTTTATAGACTTTTGTCTTCTTTGGACTAACATCCATGGTCCATATTTATCCTCTCCTTGATTTTTAATAACTCCCGAGTTGTCTGTCAGAGAATCTTGATTTTGAGGCTCCTGTTGTTGCTTGGGAGAGTTAGCTTCATTCTCTGCCCCTCGATTTTTCTCCGTGATTTTCACAGGGCACTGATCTGTCTGGGACAAAAACATATTAGGTGAATACCCTCATATTCTATTTTCAGAACCAATTTACCCACTCTTACTTTTGAAAGAAGTGGTTTATTTAGATCAACTTCGACACATATTCTAGCGAATTTTCCTCTGGTAGACCAAGCCGTCCTACAGTCCACTTTAATCGATTTTCCCATCATCTTCCCAATGTTGACAAATATACCTTCGTCAAAATATTCTATTGGGAGTCCTAGGATATGAATCCAAACCGCAGTAGAGGCAATATTCGACTTTTCAGCCAGGAAATCAGGTCTCCATTTTTGAACTATCAAGTAATGATCCATTATTTTCCATGGGCCTTCGGTAAGAACTTTAACTCTGTCGTTTTCATTTTGAAATTTGGCGTAAGAGTCGTTTCCCAAATCGATACAGTCAAAATCGCCTTGTCATTTCCACATTATCGTGATTCTTGAAATGAGAATTTTATAGGCCACAGATTTACCTAAGAGTTTGATAATAAGAGCTTTTCTCCGCTGTTTTTTGATCATTTTTTTCAATTCAGAGCTGATCTTTATTGCGGGTATTTCATCCTCTGCAGGTTCGTCTTCACTGTCAGAGTCTGGATCTTCGTCCTCAAGATTTATCGAACTGTCGAACATACATGTAAAGATGGGAGAATCCAAAACTGTATCTTTCCACGATCTTTCACTGTTCACCAATGCTGTCGTATCTTCTCCCTCGGAGGGTCTGAATCTCTTGTTACCTACATTAACATCATCCATCCTTGCTTCCGCCTGGGTCACCACGGTGACTGGCGGGTTAACCGCCTCCATACAAAAACAATCTCAAGGCTGGAGAAAAAATCAGAATCTTTTTAAGATCGAACTTGGTTTTGCACCCCTAAATTTCCTATATGTGCCATATCAAAACAATAGATGAAAATAAAACTTTTCATCTCTTAATAATTGAATGGTGTAATAGAGAACATTCAATTACACTCCAATTCAACGAAACCCACAAATTATATGATTAACTAAATATGTTATATCTATATAATCACACCTAAATTAAATTACTATTTGATTTTCCAAACATGCCCTAAGCGAATTAGTTTATACGTTTGATTCATGAGTCATTAAGTCGAGAACAGACATGATTTTATGTTAGAGAATGAATTTTAAAATTTTAAGAGTAGACAAATTTATAAAATTTTAAAGGAAACGAAAACAAATTTCAATAAAAAATATATAATAATTTTAAATTTTTAATAAAATGATTATCCATGCCCACTCCATTTCCATCCGTGATCGGAGTATGCATACCAACACAATTGATGTATTAAAAAAGATATCTTATTATCATTCACATGCAATTACACATATATCAAGGACTGATTATAAATTACTTTTAGGTTTTTATAATATATTACTCACCTTATTCAATCATGATACACTATAATTTTATAAGTATATTGAAACATAACCACTTAAAATATAATACTCTAGGTATTATGAAATTTGATTTGAAACTATTAACAATTAGTTGGTCTTGAGAATTAAAGCGTTGGATTTTTTAAATATGATTAGAAATTTAAATCTTAATATCTGTAAATAAAGTAAATTGAATTAGAGTAATCACTCCTATGATAATTTTTTATAATTTTATCTTAGTTAATTGATTAATAAATTAAACATCGCAATTAAAAAATCGATTTGAAACTGTGAGCAGCTAAACCCCTAGGCCTTCTACCTGCATAGTTCACCTCTCCTGAATGAGTTTAGGTGAATAACATTCACATAAAATAGACGTAAGATTCGTATCAAAATGCAAAAAAATAAAAATCAGATGAATGAACATCAGGTGCGAGTTGAGATAGAACAGGTTATCCAAAATCCAAGCATTTCATTTCACGTCAGCATCATATCATAATCTGCCATGTCAGCAACGTCCTCCAATCAGATTCCAGCATCAGATTTCACGTCTTCCACTGCCAACCAATGAGGGCAAGAGAAGCACAATCCTGAGTGGCTTCTCCACTTCCACCAGCTCTTGCTTATTAGTATCTATCACCATTCCCCCCATTCCCCACGACTGTCACCTAACTATCACTCACTGTTGTTCCTAAACCAAGCTTCCAACATGGCCTCGTTAGCAGCTTCCACCGCCGCCGCCTCCCTCGGCGTCTCCGACATGCTCAAAAACCCTCTCAACCGCAGTGGTGGAGCTAGGTCATCGGCTCCAACACCACCCAACTCCGGCGCTCTCAAGACCGTCGCTCTTTTCTCCAAGAAGAAGGCCGCACCTCCAAAGCCCAAGGCTGCTGCCGTCGCCCCTGCCGACGAAGAGCTGGCTAAGTGGTATGGTAAGTTGATCAACATTCTTTTCGTTTCTCATGAATAATTAAGCAAATTGCACGACAAAGAAAATGAAACCATGCATTTATATTCAAACAGGTCCCGACAGAAGGATTTTCTTGCCGGAAGGGCTGTTAGACAGATCGGAGATCCCAGAATACTTGACCGGAGAAGTGCCCGGAGAGTTAGTACAGATCATAACCAAATCAAATCATATGATATTTGTTTGATAAAATAATTAAGCTTTGCTTTCACGTGCATAATGTTTCATCTAGCTATGGATACGATCCTTTTGGTCTGAGCAAGAAACCGGAAAATTTTGCGAAGTAAGTTTATTTCTGATTTTTGCAACTCTCATTGAAGGACAAATTCCATCTTTGATCCCTTTATTATGAACAAATCGAAGATTTAGTCCAATAATTAACACCTTTGGAATACAGATATCAAGCATATGAGTTAATACACGCGAGGTGGGCAATGCTTGGTGCTGCAGGGTTCATTATCCCTGAAGCCTTTAACAAATATGGTGCTAACTGCGGTCCTGAAGCCGTTTGGTTCAAGGTTAATTAACTCTCACTTTCAATTAATTCATCATTAAAATCCCAAATTATGTAAACAATTTGATCTGTTGATAATTTTGCAGACCGGAGCTCTTCTCTTGGACGGTAACACCTTGAACTACTTCGGTAAGAACATCCCCATCAACCTTGTGGTTGCTGTGATTGCTGAGGTCGTCCTTGTTGGTGGTGCTGAATATTACAGAATCATCAATGGCTTGGTAAAGATTCCACTTTTATATAATAAATAATCATATTTTACTACAAAAAACCAGAACATTATATTGTTATGACCCCTATTGTTGCAGGATTTGGAGGACAAGCTTCACCCTGGTGGTCCATTTGACCCACTCGGACTAGCCAAGGACCCTGACCAGGCTGCTCTGCTGAAGGTGAAAGAGATCAAGAACGGTCGGCTCGCAATGTTCGCCATGTTGGGCTTCTTTATCCAAGCTTATGTGACCGGAGAAGGTCCGGTCGAGAACCTTGCCAAGCACCTCAGCGATCCTTTTGGCAACAACTTGCTTACTGTCATTGCCGGGACTGCCGAAAGAGTTCCCACCCTCTGAATTCTGTTATCTTTGTTCACTAGTTGTTGCTGCTTTTTATGAATTTTGTTGTACATCAAACTTATTGGACAACCCCCAAGCACTTGAATCTTGATGGTTTTAACCTCAAAGTGATGTTTGTCTTCCATTTCACTAGATTCATCTATAATTCAAACATGCAACAACTCACAATATGCGTTCAAGAAAAGAACTAATAATTATATAAAAAATTAATTAATCAATTCAGTTCGCGCAAATATCATGATAAAATATTATTAAAATATAATTTAGTTTAATATTTCTATAAAAAAATCATCCGCTGTTTATATTTGATGCTCTTATTTTTTTCTTCTGTTCATGTTGACATTTTATTTCTCTTGCTTTTGGATTTTCCTTATCTGTTTTTTGCAAATCTCTTTTCGACTTTATCTCGTGTCATGGTCATTAGGGGAGCCAAGTAACCAACCAGATTGTAAGGCTACTTCGACCTATTTTTATGCATATTTTCTTTTTAATTTTTCAATGATAAAAAGATATAAATCAACAAAATTGAGAAGAATTGGATGAAATGAAACCACTAAAAAATGAGTGGAATAGAAGATGGAGTTGGGCCTGCAGCCACATAGCCCAGAACCCAGACTATATATAGAAGTATAAATTAAGTTGGTGGGGATTGGATTTTACGTGCTACTAGTAGAAATGAAACCATCAGTTGGAAGAAGGCGCAGCTAGACCTGTAAACGAATCGAACATTTAGCGAATAGTTTGTGAATCGTTCGGTGGGAAGTTAATTTATGTTCGTTTATTTATTAAATGAACGAACATGAATAATATTTTGTGTTCGTTTAATTAAATAAACAAACATGAACAGAAGGTAAAGTATTTATGTTCACTGAACTTTTCAGATGTTTGTATTTGGGTCCCCAACTTTTAAAACTTACAATACAATCACCAAGCATTTAGTTCGTTTGCAATATGGTTCCCGACATAATGGATGTTTCACTGCCGTTAGGGTAAAATATATAAATGGTCACTAAACTTTTCAGGCACTTGCATTTAGGTCCCCCAACTTTTAAAACTTGCAACACAATCATCAATTACATTTTAAACCCAAATTCCAAAATACTTCAATTACATTCTAAACCTCAGATTCCAAAAAAACTTCAATTACATGCCCAACCCCAAATTCATAATCCATTCTCAAAATCTATCATAACAAATTAAACTTAAAGCAACAACCCTAAACCCTCAAAATATAACCCTAAATGCTAAATTTCCCCACCAATTAACCCAATATAATCAACAACATTTAGTTCATTTTGGGTCCATAACAATAAGTGATTATGTTGAGTTTAGGATTTAAAAGTTAGATTTAACCAACTATAAGTGAACAATACTCAATTTGATTCGAAAAAATTATTTTTCGACTTGAATTGATTCAAAAAATTTGATACAAATTGACTTTGAGTTGTAATTTCATAAACTCAACTTAAAAAAAATAAAGTTAAAATCGAGTTGTAAAATACAACTCAAATATCTCAAGATTTTTAGTAATTAGTGGATTAATTTTTAAGTTTGATTAAAATCCCTTGACTCTGTATGATATATGTATATCACATATGGAAAAAATGAAGAAATATATGTATTGTATATGCTTAAAAAACTATTTAAATTAGAATCAAATAATATTATAGTATTATAAATATTTATAATTAAATTTAAACATAAAGTCAAAAATTCAATTCAATTCGACTTGATTTAATTTTATATACTCAAATCGAAAAAATTTCGAGTCAACTATTTTATAAAAGGATATGAATTAGAATCAAATAATATTATAATACGATAAATATCTATAATTAAATTTAAACAAAAATTCAATTCAATTCGATTTGATTTAAATTTTATAAACTTAAATCTAAAAAATTTGAGTAAACTATTTTATAAACTGAATTGAGTATTTAGGTCCAACATAACCCTAAACCCAACATAATCACTTATTGTTCACTTATAATTGGTTAAATGTTTTCAAAATAATTATGTTTTGAGGGTTTAGGGTTGTTGCTTCAAGTTCAATTTGTTATGGCAAATTTTGAGAATGAATTATGAATTTGGGGTTGAACATGTAATTGAAGTATTTTGGAATTTGAGGTTTAGAATGTAATTGAATCATTTTGGATTTTGGGGTTTAGAATGTAATTAATGACTATTTTGCAAGTTTTAAAAGTTGGGAGACTTAAATGCAAGCATCTGAAAACTTCAATGACCATTTATATATTTACCCTAACGACAGTGAAACGACTGTTACGTCGAGGACAATATTGCAAATGAACTAAATGTTTGGTGGTTGTATTGCAAGTTTTAAAAGTTGGGGGACCTAAATGCAAGCATATGAAAATTTTAGTGACCATTTATATACTTTACCCTAATTTTAAATTCAAATAAAAAAAATCAAAATAATTAAATAAAATATAATAGGAAAGAAAAAAATATATTTTCATTTATGTTCGTTTACGTTCATTTACTTCCATTTATGTTCATTTTTTGT